GCTCTGATGTGCTTGCAGAGCTGGGAACAAAAGCGTATGCTGTAGTTGATGAATAAATTGCTCGGAATTGTGCTCGTTATGTTTGCAAAAAATTCCCGCAAGTAGCGGGAAATTCCGTGGGAAATCTCGCAGTCTGCGGGACGGGATGCGGGAATGGCATTTCCCGTCCCATCCCGCTCGGGTAGGATCCCTAATCCACTGAACCTGCATACGCAGTACAAGACATAAACATCACAATTGAGAGGCATGAGGATACAATCTGGTTGACATCCGTTGCAAAAAGTGAACAATCTCCACTTGACACACGTTCTTGGTTAGCCAGAAAGAACCAAATTCCAACGTACAATACTGTAAATGTACAAGGGGGTGGCCAGTTGCATCCTGCAACATTAGCAAACAGCAGGTGCTTTATATCTTGCTAACATTCGTCTGTGAGCATTCATCTTGCTTTCATCTAGCGTTCATCCTGCTTTCTCTCTCTGCTCCCCCTCCCCTCGCGGCGACCGTCTTCTCCTCCGATTTCCCGGCGCTCCCTCTCTCCTCTCCCCCTTCCCCCTACCTTGTACTTGACGGGATGAACCGTGAGTGGCACCCAAAACGTGCTGGCCAGGGATGAATGGACACGTGAGTGGTCCCGCTGCTTTCCAGCTGTTGAGAACGTACTTGGGCGGAATCCGCCAAATTACAGTTCTGTCGAAACCTTCTCCTTCCCCCTCTAATACTCCTCAGCGAAGAACCTTTTCCTCTTCACTGACGTTTGAACAGTACAACATACATTATACAGTTGGCCCTACGTCGTCTATTCCCTTCAGTACATCCTTTGAGTATATCCTCAGTTACAACACCAGCCTGGCCCTGGCGACCGTCGTCAACTGGCCTCTCGTGCTTGCATTGGACAGCGAGGAGCTTTGTCGTCCCCGATCGTCCCTCTCCCCTTCCTCTCTCTCTCTCTCTCTCTCTCTCTCTCTCTCTCTTGTAGCTTCGACTACTTCCTTCCAGTCGGTCCTGCTGCTCGTAAAAACAGCGTGCTCTACACGCGTCTCGAAACGGAAAGGAGCGAGGAAGTCAAAACTCTGAACTTACGGAGGTCAACAGAGACGCGAGGGCACACCGACACCTCAACTTCCCAGTAGAGAATATGTAAATGTTGGCCCTGCAATTGCCGATCCTCAAGTCACAGCATTTAACACGTGGGACAACCAAGTGTGCGCCTATAGCGCGATAGCGTGGGTGTCCAGGGCACGGCTGTTCCGACGGTTTGGATAGCCTCACACCGATACCGTCACTTTCCCGCACTTTGGTTTTTCCGTCGCATATTTATGGTGAGGGAACCTGACCTTCCACATTCACTCCCCAGTCCTCATCCAGCTCGAATTCAACGAAAGCTCAGTCGTCCATGCCAGCCCCTGACACGAAAGGTATCGTTCGTTGTTCCGATTGGCCTTCGACAGTTTGCTCACATAGCTCCAGATATCAAGGATCAGCTTAACGTGGCGCGAAAGCACACGGGAGCGCCTCTACCCAACATGGTAGGGGACGATTCAGCATCTCCCGCCTCTCTCACCGCCAAGGGCCACGGTGCTGGGGCAGGCATCGCTCTACTCCTCGTCGACGTCATCAACGATATTGCGTTCGAGGGGAACGAGTACATGCTCGATGAGGCCAAGAAGATGGCCCCAAAAATAAAGAAGATGGCGGGTCAGTGTAGAGACATTGGGATCCCCGTCATCTACTGCAATGACAATTTTGGGAAGGTAACGCTTCGTTGGCATGTTACAGGCACTATGGAAGAGGATGATGGGATTGATGTCGTTCCGTAACCGGCTACAGTGGAGGTCCAGTCTGGAACAGATATATGAGGCGGTGACAGGCAAGGATTCGCCCGGAAAAGAGGTGGCTGAGATGCTCAGGCCTACACCGGTGAGTCGCTCCTCTCGTCCAGCGCTGAGGAGTTGAGTTTTCTGAACCGCACACCCTTGCAATCCCTAGGAAGATTTTTTCGTCCTCAAGCCAAAACATTCGGCGTTCTATGCAACAGCATTGGAAACTTTGCTGGCTTACCTGCAGGTATTATGGTCCCGCGTTGTAGGAAGAGTTATCCTGGATTCCTTATGTCGATCCTCATCTTTAGGTCAAAACGGTGATCATAGGTACGCGCTGTCGGCATCAAGAGACATCTGCATTCCCCCTAAACGACAATTCATGCTTTGTTATGCAGTGGGCATGGCCGGCAATGTTTGCGTGCTTTTCTCGGCCAACGACGCGTACATGCGAGATTTCGCCACGTTTGTTCCCCGAGGCAGGCGAAGCCTAAAGATACTGATGTTACGCTTGCCTTGCTGAATCACTGCTCTATTCCTCTCCTAGATTGCATCGCATCAAGCTCCGAAGCAGAATCAGAAGCAGCCTTACTTCTCATGGACAAAGTTCTCGGATCCAGCACGCGGCCGTCAACGGAACTTGATCTCAAGAACCTTCTCGAGCTGCATGAGAAGAGTGGACTTTCAGACAAGCAGGATATAAAGAAGAGACAGGGAGGAAACCAGGAGCTCAGCAGAGCCGACGGTGGGGATGCGAAGAGACGGAAGAAGACGACCGGGACCTCAGAGGACATGGCTAGCGATCCGCCTAGTCCAGTTGGTTGATGGTACTCAAACGTATCGGACGATCTGGCCGGCCCCGGCCCTCGAACGTGTATATAGCGAGAATTGTCAATTTATGACGGACCTCACCGAGGTTTCCGGCCAGCTTGTTCGATGACCGCACTCTGGCCACATCGCTTTCCAGGCATTCACTTGAAAGGTGATGTGGCATTCATCCTTGATCCAGGCATTCATCCTGGATCAAGCCATGGCAGGCTATCGACGGCGGACTCGTACCATTCCGTTCTCCCAGTTTTGCCTGGAGGAGACTGCCCAAAAGCAAAAAACAAAAATAAACTGTTCCCCAAATGTCAATGAGCGTTACTTATAGTGGAGAATGGGAGTATCGATCTCCCTGCCTCCCGCAAGCTATCGAAAGTGCTAAGCGGGCGCTCTGCCATTTGAGCTAATCCCCCAGATGACTCCGAGTTCCTTGATGCATTCTATATCGGGTGTCTAGCAAGCCCGTGTAGCTTGAACTTGCTCGTGCCTTCGCCCATCTGATGAATCTAGGCTGCGGAACCTGCGGCAGCAAGCAACTCGTACCATGAGTAACTCACCTGCGTGGAGCGGCGGCGGATGGCATCGAGCTAGTTGTATAGAGCATGGTCCCATCTGCGTGCAGGCATTACCGGACGAGGCGAGGGCCCGGCGGTAGTGCAACGAGTTCCTGGGCTGTTTCCGGTTCTGCATGCACGGAAACGCCAGGTCGGACGACAGACCGTGATGATAGGCGATCTACTCCAGGGCCTGCTGGATCATTGACTTGATCCCTTAGGCGCTCATGTTCCGGAGACTGAGTTCGGGGTGGGTCCGCAGCGTCGCTGCCCGAGCCCTTCCATCTTGCACGGTACGTACAAGACGCCACCAAGTTCCACGTGGTAAGGCTGGCGTAGGCGGTTCAGTTAAGAAACGAGACTGACAAAGAATTCTGGCTTGGAGAAACTTGTGCGGTGGTGGTGAAAGTCCTATTGACCAGGGACGTGTCTTGGGTGAGGTGGTAAGGGCGTGCTGGGTGCGCAGTCGTCTTCGCCAGTGCGCGCGTTTGGCTGTTGACGGTGAGATGGGAGCAAGTGCACAGCCACCCGCCTGCTGGCTGACCTGCACCGTTTTCCGTCGCTGCTGCTGCTACTACTGATACATCTCTACATCTCCAGCAAGTCGTGCAGATTGCAATGAACCAGTCCCTGCTCCTAGAGACGTTGCGGCAGGTCGAGCTAGGTGAGAGAGCTTCTTCTGTTTCCTTACAGCCGCTACGGCCGGATATCGCCACTGTGCATGTCCAGTCACGCGTCCTTGCCATGGCCACGCCCATCCTCACCCCGCGTTCGCCTTGGAGACCAGTACTTTGGAAACTTTTCCGTGGTCGGAATCAATGATGTAGAGACGCTCGTGCAGCTCACCATGCAGGACTATGGCATCGTCGGCGTTCACAGCATGGAGGACAGGAAACGTAAGTGTTGTTGGTTGGGGTGGGATCAGCTCCCGCTCCTCGGAAAGCAACCTTGACTCACAGCTTCGTGTTCTTCGCTGTGCAGGTCTGTGAGTTGGCTCCCCCACGTGTGTCCATGCGGCCAACGTTGCGCCGGGAATCGCTAACAACAATGCTTCTTCCTCTGGCCCAGATTCCAACTCATCCAGATGCTGAAAAGTGAGCCATCAGCCGACGTTACGCCCCTCTCTCTCACTGCTGACTCATCTTCGACTACCATCGCAGCCGAATTTCCATCGCTTGCGGAACCACCCACTTCAGGTCCCCCAGCGCAGGGTACTAGCAGAATCGATCGTGGCGCGTCCGAGTCCCTCCTTCAGAAGGCGGCCAGTCTAAACAACCTCGCTCCAGCCCCGCCTCAACCGCAGTACCAACCCTTGGTGCGTCACGAGCGCGATCAGAATGACGCGGGCCTTCGTCGCGTTGCGAGCGTCGGTCGTCTCCGGCCACCGTCAGGTAGCTTCGGGGCGGCGTTTCGAGCCGAGGCCGACGACGAGCCGGGCGTCTATCGGAATTCAGCCTCACAACTGGACAGCAACCAGTCTCCGAGGACTCCGATGAAGTTCAAAAAGTCTACCAACCATCTCAACGCGTACGGGATGGCTGTGGGGGGTGGGTCCCAGAATTCGGTCAAAGTCGGAGCGCCATCAAGCCTGAGCGATCGCATTCGCGTGTGCGTGCGCAAGAGGCCACTGAACTCCAAAGAGAGAAAAAGAAACGAGAGCGACATCGCTGCAGTGAATGGCCGGCGTACGGTCAAGATCAACGAGCCAAAGTGAGCTTCGGGCTTCGTGGAACTTGGCATGAAAAGGACCTCGCAATGCTCACGCCATATTCCAGAGTCAAAGTAGACCTTACAAAATACGTGGAGCAACACGAATTCATCTTTGATGAGGCCTTTGATTCACACTGTACCAACGATGACGTTCGTATAGTTGCATGCTCTCGTCGGTTGTGACAAAGGTTGACATCAATCTTACTGCAGGTCTATCGTCGGACGGCGTTTCCACTGGTTGAGTACATCTTCGGGGGAGGGAAGGCAACGTGTTTTGCGTAGTGAGTAGTTGCGCTCGACAAGATCAGCGTCTCATGTGGGGCTTGACTGATGCAAACTGTGCTCATCAGTGGCCAGACGGGCAGCGGGAAGACCTTCACAATGTTGGACGAGAAAGAAGGACTTTACGTCAAAGCCGGGCGCGACATTTTTGCTACGCTCGAGCAGCCCCAACATGCTCATCTTGCCGCTTGGGGAAGCTTCTACGAGATTTATCAGGGGCATCTCTACGACCTTTTAAACGCCCGCAAAAAGCTGTTCGCGCGAGAGGATGCAAACAAGCAGGTCTGCATCACCGGACTCACAGAACATCAGATCACGGATGTTGATCAGCTCATGGGAATCTTTGAGTTCGGGAACAATGCCAGGAGCACCGGTACGACCTACGCCTTCTTGTGAGCTAACAACGCATGTGGAATGCTCAATCCTTCCCCCAGGCGCGACCGGTGCCAACGCCGATTCATCCCGATCGCACGCTATCTTTCAACTGGTCCTGAAACCAAAAAAGAACCCAAAGAAGATTATCGGCAAACTGAGCTTTATTGATTTGGCTGGCAGTGAGCGTGGGGCGGACCGTGGCGAAACCGATAAGCAGACCAGGTACGTGGGACAGAATGCCGCAACAACTAGTAGGTGCTCATCCGATCGTCTTTGTGTTCAGGATGGAAGGTTCAGAGATCAACAAAAGCTTGCTGGCACTGAAAGAGTGCATCCGTGCATTGGACCTCGATTCAAAGCACACACCTTTCCGGCAGAGCAAGCTTACACAGGTAACGCCTTTCTAGCCGTAACCCCGTACGATATCCCTCGCTTACTGTCTCTGTCTATCGACTTTTTAGGTCCTGAAAGATTCTTTTATTGGGAACTCGCGGACGTGCATGATTGCTACAATATCACCAAACATCTCGAATAGCGAGCATACCCTGAATACGCTCCGTTACGCAGATCGGTTGGTGCTTTTTCCGAACTTTGCGCAGGAAAAGTGATGCTAAAATTCACTCCTCTCTCTCAGCGTTAAGGAGCTGAAAGGCGACAGTCACGTCGGGGACCATACTGATGCTGTTGAAGAGGACCAACCCTATCCTTCCGACCACTTACATCCTCACCATCATCGGTCGTCGTCAGATCTAGACGAGCCAAACTACAGCGATGTAGACGATACGTTTCTCACGGATGACGTGCCAGACCACCCAGATGATCTCCCAACGTCTGATGAGGAATTTGAACAGCGCACGCTCGGATCGCGGCGACCGAACCCATCAGAGGACACGACGCGGATCTCACCTCCCGTCGCACCGGCGCCTGCGAGTGGTCCAGCCCTCGGAACGCGCAGCCACGTCGCCGGCGCAACAGCAGGGTCGGGTGCCTCGCCGTCGGGCCTACCGCGCGCTACGTCTCCGTCACCCCATCACCTCTCGCAGCATCCGGCGACGACCACGACGCGCACGTCCCCGCCGTCCGCACCGTTACCCACGGGGTCGTCCACGGGCGGGGGCGGCGGCGGCGCACCGGACGCGACTGCCATCGATGCGTTCGTGCGTGCCCACCGCAGCCACATCCGCGAGATTACCGAGATGAGCCGGATCGAGAGCAAGCTGCTGGTGAACCTCACGATGCGGATGGGCGGGGGCGGTAGTGGTGGTGGTG